GGCCTCTTCATTTCCCGTGTCCCACGGGGGGCAAAGGGCTGCAGCCCACCGGAGCGCCTGGGAGCGGAGAGCTGCCCAGCAGCAGCACAGGGTGCCTCGAGCTGCGAACCCTGTAGCTGTCTGCCCCGATCAATGAGCTGCTGCAGCAGACGCTCCGTGTCAGAACAGGCTGTCCCCTTCCCCGAGTGCCGGACACCGCCGGAGGCAGGAAAGGTCACGCTTTCCCCTTGTCCCCGCAGCACCCCTGATGCGCATCACAGGGAAAAGGGGAGCCGACTGACACGGCCCCAAAACCCGCCTGCACACACGACCCCGAGCTGCACGAGCCCTTCGCTGCTTCTCCGCAGGAGAACGTTCCGGCCAAAAAGGTTTCCTCGAGGCGGGAGGCGCGGCGAAGACGCTCACCCTCTGAAGATCAGGCGCTCTGCGATCCTCGCTTCCCAACAGCAGCAGCACCGGGAGAAAAACCGCTTTTGTACCAGGCCCAAGTAATCAAAACCCACCAGCTGAGACTTCTTTTTCCAGAACTGTGGAAAAGCAAGGCCTTTGAGGAGTTTATGCTGCTGCCTCGATCTTCCACCCCCCTGTATTTAACCTCTGGAACTTCAAACACAAGGAAGTAGGGCGGCTGTGCTGCTCTCCCGTCAAGCCGTGACATCCCGACACCCCCCAGCCCTGACTGCAGTGCCAGCCGCTCGCTCCGCTGTGGGATGAGCCTGCTCCCACCACGGACACACACGGAGCTGCCTTGATCCCTGAACCAAGACAAGAGGGCGAGCTGTGCTCCTACACGTTTACCACCTCTCCCAGGTCCTGCTCTGCCGGAGCAGGCGGCCTGGAGGGAGCAGAGAAGGACCCGGGAGAGCAGGAAGGCAGAGGTGGAGCGGGCAGGACACGCAGGCGGGACAGGGATACAGCTCCACCTCTGGAACTCTCCATCGCAGACACAAACACAGCCCCGCGCCGGGAAGAAAGGCAAAGCTTATTTCAACATCAGCACTGCTATCCTGACCCAGCGATGGCGAGAAGCACCCAACGCTCATCCCTGCGTACTCTCCCAGTGGCAATCCAGACTGCTCATCCCTTATCTGCGGGCGCTCCGCCAGTATCAGCAACAACCGACTTGCAGCCGAGTCCTACCTTGAAGCGAGATTAGCCGAAGGGAGATTAGCGCCGGGCAATCCTTGCGGGTGCTCAGTGTTGTGTCTACCCGAGGGAGAGGAAGCACAAAGGAAACCTCCTAAAGGTCAGGAGCCAAGGAACAGCTACTACACCGACGCGGAAGAAGTCCAACCAAGTCCTCGCAAAGCGGATGGCGAATAACAAGCAGGAGGAGTCACGTTTTAGACTGAACAGGTCACGAGAAGAGAGACAAACATGTAACTTTATTGTTTATGTACAAAGGACAGAAGTTTGTATTAAAAAGAGAATCCACCCAACCTCGAAGACAGCAAAGAGCGAGATGGCTTCGAGCTCCAGCCTTCCCTGCACCTAAAAGCACTGCGTGAACTCTAGGGGATGGTGTTTAAAATCAGAGAAAAGGGTTAAGCACCTTCTTCTCTGCTTGAGTAAGAATCAACATGAGCTGTTCCACAAAACGAAGACCCTTCCACTCTACAAGGGTCCAAACCAAGAAACGGAAAGTCAATTTGTCAACTATACACTTTGGTTTAAAAAAAACCCAAACGACGACGACAAAACCCCCAAACAAACCCCAAGCTACAAAGCGAAGGATCAGCAACAAAAGTAACCTAAGTCTTACAACAGGGATGGGACACACTGACTCAGTTCCAGTGGAAAAAGAAATCCCTCTCCATGGGTTTGCAGATGACAGGGGTGGCAGCAGCAAGAGCAGCCAATTTTAGGAAGTTCACGACCGAGGTGGAAGCACAGAAGAGTCAGGAATTCAGGACTACCGCTACTACTACCACTACTACACCTTAGTCTCCCTGCAACTCAGGTGATTTAAAAATGACGCAAAGTACATGGTCCAAGAATCTCTACCCCCTTCTAAGTTCTATTGAGCGAGCCGCTCCCATCTGCAGACACTTGGCCAGAGAGCTGCCATCGTGCTCGTTCAGTCGACTGGCATTTTTCTCAGTGGGGATTCCCGCAGACCTACATCCCAGGAGCATCAGCACTGATGAGTCTAGTAGTCCTGCGGAGAGAGGAAAGGACAGGCCCATTAAGACCTTTCTGCCTTCAGTCCTGCGTGCAGAGCTGGGAGTCTCAGTCTTCCCTCATTTCTACATACCGTTAGTCGCGGGCTGAACAGAAAAGAGATTTATTTTTCTTCTAGCTAACCATTCAAAAGGAAGGACCCTTCAAAACCTTAGTTCAGCAACGTGTCAGCCAAAACCAGATGCTTTTAACGTGCCGGATCGTGACAACAAGACGCAAACGGGTGTTTTCCACAAAAAGTGCCCGGGCCTTAGCTGTGACCCAGCTTCACAACAAGCCAGCCTGGGCTTCTTTACTGTTAGATCCCCAAGACGGTGCTTATTTCACAGCACCATACTCCTCAACCATGAAAGGAAGACCTTCAATTACAGCAGAGGGAGGCTTTTTCAGAGGAGGAGTCAGCCAGCCACTCAAGTCTACAGAAGAGCAATGAAAACAAGGACAGAGCACGGATACTTACGGCTCTTGGCTTTTTGTTTAACTTGAGATCAATCCTGTGGTTGGAAAGATAAGAGAAACGTCCATTTCAATACATTAAACCATCACCAGAGTTCAAGAACCAGGCTACAACAAAGACTATTTGGTTAATGCAATCCACATTCTCAATTCGGCTGAGCCAAATCACTGTCCCAGTGTTACTGGGCAAGAGAGCAGCAAAGAGAGGGAGAGTGGATTCTTTATTACTTGCCAAAATGCATAATCCATCCACTCAAAAAAGGAGTTAATAAAGGTTCATAATCCAAATCACAGGGAAGTTATGCAGCATAAAGAAATCGGGTTAAATACGCATGCTCTACGTTAATTTGTTAGATGTGTAACTATGCCACAGGTAACTACTCAGACATAGTGGTGATGGTTATTGACTTGGAACAGAGATAGGGGTTTGAGGTGACAGGGGTTATATAAGTCAAAGGTACTGAGTTTATTACGTTTTTCCAGAAGGAAATATCCAAGTCTACACTAATCTCCTTAAGAAGCAAAGCCAGAAGAATCAGTTTTTTAAGTTAAAAAGTTTTATCTATTTAAAAATGAAACAGAAAGGTAAAGAAGAGTGAAGTTAATTTAATTTTGCTGAAGTTATTAAATAAAATGTTACCTCCATCACGCTTTTCTGTTTTTAAAAAAAACTTCCCAGCCTAACCTAATATACATACCTACAATTAAACAGATAAACTATGGGTTAGAAAGGTCTCAAAAGGCACATTGGTGTCTACACACTAACAACACAGCACAAGTACTAATTCAAGTCAAACTTACTCAAAGTCATAATCAAACATGCCAGACGGGCTGAGGGGCAGCATTTGAAAGGAAGAAAGCAATAGAAATTAATATACTAATGAATTAAATAAATTAGTTGATTAGCCACCCTAGCGAGATCACAAAAAAATGAAATTAAATGAAATAAATCATAAAGCCAGTGTTGAATGCCATAAAGTTCTTCGGATATCTTAACCAGAAGTGGGCACAAAAAGCACTCCAGATGGGGCAATCCAGAGTCCCCCTCCCCAAGTGGATTTCTGGGAAAAAGAGGTGTTAGAACAGAGGCAGAGTGGTTTTACGGAGGAATTTTAGGTGCTGAAAAAGGAAGCTACCAGGTCCTCGGGAGCGCACGCTAGCTCGGCGGGCAGCGGGAAAAACCGACGTGCTTGCAAGCACAGTCGAGCGGGCGGGCGGAAAGCGGCGGCTGGTCTAGGTCATTACGGCAAAGCAAAGCTTGTTGGGGCAGAGGGGGAGATGACAGGGGCCCGAGCGGCCAACTCTGCATTCCCATAACCTCGTAATGCACACGCGTACACACATCCTCTGGCACTCGCCTCCTTCCGAGCTAAAAAGAGAACACGGTCATTCGGCCAGCGCCGAGTACAGTCTGGTGACATTCCCACCCCTCGCCTCAGCATCCCCCGGGAGCCCGCAGCACTGCCTCTAGGAACTCACCTCCCCCGAAGCGACTTGGTAGCTTTTCAGCCCTGAGTTTCTAAGAGGAATTTTCTCCCAACGTACTTTTTAGCCATGGAAGTTGCCGAGCGCTCAGAAAAGAACCATCCTGGCCTTCCTGCGGTCTCAGAGGGGAGGATGGGGTGTCAGTGAAGACACTCAAACTCCCAGCTGACTCCCCGCTTTTAACTGTTGGAAGTTAAACTGCCTGTTTGCCCCAGTTCTGCCCAGTCTGAGTCCAACTTCCCGCATCGCCCTCGGTGGACCAAGCAGAAATTCCAGCGGTGTCAGTGCCCGGTGGGGGTGCCTCTTCCCAACACTTCCCAGTCCCTCAGGAACAGGCGAGCAGAACTCAAAGCAATGCTGGCAAAAGGGAGGAGCCTCTGAACGAATGGAAACGCCAATATTCCTTTCCATCTTCCTTTTTCATTCCATGACGCTCCAGGAAGAGGCACGCGGGTCGCTTCCCAAAGAGCGCTGCGGGCCGCGATACGTTTTCAGGCGCTTTGCTAGGCCAGGACTGTTTTGTTGTGGTTTGGGTTTTTAACCTCGACATACTCTAAACCTGCTTGGTCTTTTCTGCCAAAGTTCAGGGGACAGTCAGTAAGGTCCATCACAGTGTTAACAGCAGGGTTTATTACAGACAAACTTAATTATCTCCTTAATTATCTATCTGTCCACGCTAAGCATTATGAAACAGTCAATTACTAACTTACTAAGCCTTTCCGTAACGGAGAGGTGTCTGACGTAGCTCTTAGGAGGGTAAGAATCGCCGTACCAGATCGGACCGGGGCTCCTCGTGTCCAACATCCTCTCCCCGGCAGTAGCCAGCTGCTTCAGCGGAAGGAATGCAGACGAAAGCCCAAAGCACCACAACCTGTCAGTGGGGCAGTTTCTTCCTAACTCCTGTCGCTAAAGTTGGGGTTATGTAACGGAGCAAAAGAACGTGTGTTATTCACAGCACTTGTACTGCACCCCGCTGACGCTGCGGTGGGTTGGCTCCCTGTCCGTGGAAGTGCCTGGCAGAGTAGTTCATAATTTGGTGGAAATAGCCATTTTTTGAAGCTGCACTGCACTTTTACGGACTGTTTCCCTCAACCTACAGATGTAGTTTCTTGGGTTAATCCTGAATTTCTTTCCAATTGTCCACAGGCAAAAAAAAAAAAGTTTTGAACTGCTTGGGAATCCCAGCTCACATGGAACCAAAGGGACATCCAGCCCTTTAGGATGCTTGCCCAATTAAAACTGCTGTAGGAAGAAAACTCTGATCTAAGAATTAGAGGGGCTAATGGCCCAAAACCCAACGAAGGAGGAAAAGCAGTTAAATGTTTTTCCAGCATTGTACCTACCTCCGCATCTCCCAGACCAACCTACCCCCAGCAATCCCTCTAAGTTTTTACCACTTAAACATTTCTCTCTGGTTATTGTATGGGAAGGTCCCTTAAAGAGGAAAACCCATCCACACACAAAGCCAACGAGCTCATAGTTCGCCAGAACACTTCATTTTTAAAAGCTCCTTTACTTGTAATGATCTGTAGGTACCAGTTCCAGCAAGCGCTTCCAGAGAGGGGCAGTTCTGTCTCCTCTTTCCAAGAGCATGGATTCCCATGGTTTGTCTCCCTGCCATACTCCGCAGAACTCCTTGGGCTAGCTCTGCTGAGGGGCACAGAGCGACGGTTAAGCAGCAGGTTATGTGGCCCATGGAGCAGGCAGGGAATCTGCTGTGGGTTTCTGAGCCATCCGCCCCCCACGCTGCATCACGCCTCCAGGGCGACCTTAAGGGGCAGAACTGGTCATCTAAATTCAACCACAGAGCTCAGGAAATCTTTGTTTTGCATGAATTTCAGGTCAGTTTAATAAGAAACACTTTGAGGTTACTGTGACAAATCAACTCTTCCATGCCATAATCAAGAGAGACTCAGCCTGGGACACGGCAGCTGTAAAGGAGTGGAAGTCTCAGTGATGACACCTGGGTGACACAACTCCCAAAACTTTCCAACGTGCTTTTTCACCCTCCTTCTCCCAAGAAAGTACTGACATTCCCACCTTACTCGGTTCTGCAGAAACCAAGCACAGGAAGCCAGGACTGCAACCTTCCTCTGCTGGAAGGAGGAGAGCTTTATTCTCCTGGAGAACTGAAAAAGCCCAGTCAAAAGCATCGCTGCAGCAGAGCTGAGCGCGTTTAACTTCCTCAGCGTGCTTTCCCCTCCTCGATACAACGGGGGCAACAGGACCCTGACGAACGCTACAGGGTGCATACAACTCAAACCCAGAAAAGCCACCGCAACAAATGACCTGCGCTGCTCGCTCCCCTGACAAGTTACTCATTCCTTTCACGTAACACAGCAAGCTGGAGGGCAGCTCGCCGTTCAGAAGGACGACGTAAGGCTGCTGGTACCACTAACCTGTGTCGGTTTTTGTTCTTTCGTTTTTTGTGGCTGCTGTGGTGGCTCCCAGAAGAAGTAGAGGAAGCAGCTTTCTGGGGTTTCACCCCCTGCACAGACCCATCCAGCTCTTCAGCATCCTCCTGGTTGGGCTCGTTCTCCTGATTGTGAAAGTCTGGAGAAGTGTCGCTTTCCGTGCCACTGCCTGGCTCCCCTGGAGCACGACAAAGACAGACGAGCACACCGGTTACCTCCCCACAGCGCACACCCCAGGCTGCCCTGGTGAAGCCCTGCATGGAAGAAAACAGCCCCAGCAACAGTACACAGGGCAGCAGAGACACGCCGAGCCGCACGGCACCAGGAGGTAAATCAGAGAGCCTGAAAAACACTTCTGGAGGGCAGCAAGCTACCACCCCAGCGACGGATTTGATACCAATTACAAGAACATTCTTAAAAACCCCAAATGTAAGCAGCTCCTCCCCGTGTCACCTGCAACTGTCTGACAGCTGCAGTGCTGCTTCAGCTCTTCTCACCGCTGTCTCCAAAGAGCCCCAAATCAGTTCCGTGCACAATAAACCCTGCCGAGCACAAAAGTGTGCTCGAGAGGGGAAGCTCCACTTTACTTCTGTTTCTCCCAGCGCTGCTTTGCTGACTTCTGTAGCCTGAGGTTGTGCTGGGAGCACTCAAGAGCCGGCCTGAGAGGAGCAGCTGTAGGTCCCTGGATGGGCGGCAGCGAGTACAGCAGGGATCCAGCCAGCGGGAGACAGAGCTGAGTGCTGGGGAGAAGCGCAGTTCTTTCCCAATTCTGACAGAAATGAAAAAGTGACTTACGCTTCTCAATGAGCTGGTCCTGAACTCCAGCTAGTGCACTGACCGCCTGGAAAAGCGAAAGGGGTGTTGGTGAAAGCGGTAATTCGCTTCCCACTTCTCCAGTGTTCAAAAACACAGCGATCACCTCACAGAGAAAGACACATCAGGACTGCGTGACAGAGCTTATGGCCTAGCACCGGCACAGCAGAGCAGCGGGGGTTAGGAGCACAAAGATCAAGACAGGGATGGCAGTGACAAGCGTGTGGCACTGGTGGCTCCTCACTGTGGTTCCCTAGCACCTCCCTGGGCACTAGGAAAAGGGTTTCTGAAAGAGGCTGTGACATGGGATAGAATCACGGAATGGTTTGGGTTTTAAGGGACCTTAAAGACCATCCAGTTCCAACCCCCCTGCCATGGGCAGGGACACCTTCCACTAGCCCAGGTTGCTCCAAGCCTCATCCAGCCTGGCCTTGGACACTTCCAGGGATGGAGCATCCACAGCTTCTCTGGGCAACCTGTCCCAGTGCTCCCCACCCTCTCCGGGAAGAACTTTTTCCTGATATCTTCTCTAAATCTCCCCGCTTACAGTTTAAACCCGTTACCCTTCCTCAGGATGAAGATGCTGAGCTCGGGGGGAATGGAGCAACCCAGGAGCTTAACCGGCCCTGCAGCAGCCCGGGCGACCGACACGGGAACCAGCGGCACCGAGGGACGGGGACGGGAGCAGTGGCGTCTGCCCGCCCCCCCCGACACTCACCGCTGCCGAGGTGACCGAAGACTTGCTGAAGAGCCGTTCGGCCTCCTTGAACTTCCGATTCCTCCGGTCGTTCTTGCTGTTGGAGTTCCTGAAAGAGAGACAAACGGCGTCGCGGAGGCCGGGCAGGGCCGGGCAGGGCGGGCAGGGCCCCGGGCACTCACTTCTGGTTGGTGAGGTAGCGGTCCCAGCCGCGGATGATGTTCCCGTACATCTGCGTGTCCTCCAGGTAGCTGCCCTCGAAGGCGTAGATCTGCC